ATGCCTCGTGTTTCAGATCCATTTGAAGATAGTGAACCATCAACAGATGATGACGAAGAAAAAATTACAAATCGACGTAATTGGCGTAGATATGGATGGAGAATTTATCAATTAGATAATCCATGTTCGATACTATTCTTGTCCGATAATAATCAATTAGTTGTGCTTAATGAAGGTGTAATTAAATTTCTGACCATCGAACTTGAAGATAATCGGCCATTTGTTCAAGGACCATCAAAAAATATTTTTTGTTATGATTTTGATGTATTTAATAATGGTGGGAAAAGACTAAGTGTTCAACCATGGTCGATTGCATTAACTTCAACAGTCGGAGTTTTTGTCTTCAGCTTATTAGACAATTCTCAGCTTTACACATTGGATACACGAAATCAAAATACAATAATTCAAACATTGACTACGACAGTCATACACAATTGTCCATGTCTTCTTTTCCATCCACAATCAAATAAAATTTTTGTTTATGACTCAACACAAATCTTGGCTATGTCACCTGATGATGGAACGACGGTGAACGTGGATTTACCATTTATTGAACGAGGAAAAATAATTTCGACTATGGCTATTGATAAGATAGGACATATTTATATCTTATCTGACTCAACAATTTTCAAATGTACATGGCAATCACAACTACATCTTGTTGAATGTCTAGGGAAAATAGACGTTTCAATAAGTGATACTCAAATGATTGTTACAGATCAAGGAAATCAATTCTATTTTCCAGATATGGGCAAGGGTTGCTTATATCGATGCAGAAAAATCAATGGATAATAATATTAAGACAAATTTTTATTTTTTGATTTCATACCAAGATACTTTTTTTTTAAGAAAAATTAGAACCACATACCTACACAGACAGATAAACGCCAAAACGCCGTTTAAAGAAATAAAAGAGTATCAATGCGTTTAGCTTTTTGTTGACGCATTTTAACTCATTTAGTAGAAGAATTAACTAAATGACTGCATTTTAATGTAGAAATCCATTCGTTTTAATCAGTGAACACAGATGAAATCAAGATATTGACAGTCATGCATTATGATTTATTTATATCATATTCTATTTAAAAGAGCCAATACTTTCAAAATTAAAATTCCTTCTTTTATGTTTCTAATAAATCTAACAATTATAAAAAGTTTTTAATGTTATGTGCTTCCACTTAGATTTGGATATTGAGAAAAATATAGAGTTACAAACAGGAAGGAACGAACTTAACGTCAATTTGAGATCAAAACACAAGGTTCTGAATACTGATTCTAAACTAGTGGCTTCCAATGTTGTTCTATTGCGTATTCCATAAAATATTTGTGCACATTCATACATTCAGTCATTTATCGATATAGGCCCCCAAATAGACTACTCAAATAAAATATGAATGAAAATTGAATTAAGAAATGTGATAAAAATGAGTTAACTTTTAATGTAGCAATCATATTCCTTAGTTCGACTTTAACGTTAATTCACTTTCCTAGCCTGTTAGATCTTAAAAGAAGTAAATGAAATATTTGAGCAATCTTATTCAGAAAAGAAATCAAACAGAAGAAAATTGATGGATTTAGTTCCATGAACAATCCGTGATGTGATCGATGAATCGAAAAATTAATGAGATGAGAGTGCATTTTATTCCACTATTTGAGATCATTTCTATGAATAATCCAACTATTATTTTATGTCCAATTGATACATAGCTCATTTTGATTGAGCTATGTAAGTAATACAATAATAAAGGACCTCCGACAAGAGTTAGTTTCTCAACCTAAGAAAATTAATAGCGATAAATATTTATTCTAGATATTTTTTTCGCTGGTTTTTCTGTACAGAACATTCAAAAAAGGTGTTATTAGTCAACGAACACTATAGTTATCTGTCTCTATGCGCTTCATCCTATTGGTGCTCGCGCTGTTCTTTGTATCAGTTTCATTGTTCTGTTCTTCCATTATCTTAAGAAAACATAAATTACAATAAGACGTATTGTATATGTATATATATATATCCCATTCAATCTCTACCACGACGTGAAACTAATCGAGAGATAACTATTCATGTTTATTTACAAATAATTTCTTTTAAATGAATATAAAATATAGAATTTTTTGCACAAATTAATGGAATTAATTTTTATTTTGCTGCATATTAATAGAATATCGTTGTTGCATGAATTTAATAAGAAATTTTTGAATGATATATATAGATAAAGAGAATATCGAGAGAGATAATTTCATAATTCTCTTAATTTATAAGATTGAACAGATGCGTTTGATACTGATCATACACCTGACAATTAACCTTGTTTTTCAGATATCTTACAGTGAATTCAAAATATAGAGTCGCGATTTTCAGCAAGATTTAGCCTGATTGTCATAGTATATCTTCTAACGATTGCATCCTTTCGAGTCATACATATGTTGTAGTAGACTCAAAAAAGATCATTCTTACTACTCTTGGTCTACTACAACATATGTACGACTCGGAAAAATGCAATTGTCAGAAGATATATTATGACTACTGGGCTATATTTTGCTGAAAACAAAGATAACTTTTAAACGCATTTTACACAGTCAAAAATGCGTTTCAACTATATGTCTTTTCTACCATTTTAACGATGTGAAATCTGAAAAAAATACGTTTAAAGACAAAACCCAAAATGGTCATTTTAACGCGTCAATTTCACTTTTCTGACTGCTTGGGTCTGAGGCGTGTGCAATGAATTGAACGCAGTCTCTTAAATTTTCATTTATCTTTCGTCGGGTTGGCTTAGCTGCATAGAAGTCAAAACAAGTATAGAAAAATCTAGTTTTAGCGTGCGAAGTTCACATAATCGAACATGCTCGACTTTGTGGATTCACCGGTGCACTTTTCACCCTAGCCAGACGCTTATCGGTTTCCTCAGATTTTGCCGTTGCTGTAGTCGGTCGTTTCATTTCCAGCAAATATCGTTGAGGCTTTTCGGTGTGCACTTCAGGCACAGCGTCTCTCAGTAGACCGAGAACTTTCTCGAACTCTTTCGATGTCCATACATCGACGTTCGTCGATATGTCATTGAATCGACGAAAATCAATGAAAGATTTGTCACTGAATATCACGGCCATCGGACCAGGCGGTGGCCAAGTGGTAGTCTCTTCCAGATAAAGAGGCACAATGATCTTCTTTAATGCATCAGCGAGAGACATTTCTCGTCGACAATTGATGGACAGTGTGTATTTCGGCGTGACACAAGCGAGAACACACTTGGCATGCCGAATACCTGCATCGATCTTCTCGAAAAGTGAATCACCACCACCCATCTGAAAGATGTCAAGCCAACACCGATAGCCGAGTTGTGTCAATCGTTTGTACAGTGCGACGACGTCCGACTGACGATCCCACTGGTAGGAGATCATTACTTGAGGATGTGTGACTACGAGCGGTGTGTCGTCAGTGACTTGTTCTTTTTTGGTGTTCGTCGTTGACTGCAAAAAAATGAGATTATCGATACGAGGTACAAACCAGTTCCGATAGCGGTCCGTGATCATGTCAAGATCGGGTGCCACATGATAACGAATTTGACCGAGAAGTTCGATGAACTTGTCCGCGGGCCAGAAATTCGGATCATTGTCTTTGCGATCAAAGAAGCGAATGAAGAGATACTCACTCATGATAGGACCCAATGCTCCTTCGGGTGGCCACTTTTGTTTCTCCATTTGTAAAGGAATCAAGGGTTTGCCAGTAGTCACGGCCAAATGTACTTCACGTGAACAGTTTTCTGATTGAGCGTAAGCTGTGTTCATGCAACAAATCACGACTTTGGCACCACGAATTCCTCCATCGATCTTGGCGAACAGTTTATCACCGCCACCCATCTGACCGGTGTCCATCCAACAGGCATAGCCCGCTTCTTCCAAATGACTTTTCAAGTTCAACACGGCCTGTTGCAAGTCCCATTGATAAGACAGAAACACTGGAGGCAACCGTTTGATATCGAAGGGCATATCGTCAGGAATGAGATCACCTGCAGCAGCCACTGCGTCTCGAATGATCTTGGCGACATCTTGTCGACCAATCTCGTCAAGTATTTTCACTAGACCATAGGTTGCTTCATCAGTTTTATGTGTCATGAACCATTCGTTCAGCAGAGCCATGGTTGGATCGACTTGCAATGCCCAATGACGCAATTCACTGGTCGAATAGCCGAAACGTTTACCGAGCAGACGCCAATCGTTGTTGGCACGTCGGTTCAAAAGTTTGTTCACTTCACGACCCCAGTGGGCTGGAACATGACTAAGAGTTTTTGCATCGATACGTTCGATCTCGCGTGCTTGTGCGGCTACCTGTTCGCTAACATCACTCAAGCGATTGTCAACAGTATCAACTTGTACAGCAAGATTCGTCACCTAGAAAGAGATTCATGATACAGCGAAGATTCTATTCCAAGATTTTATTATTATTATTTTTTTCTTGCCCATATCATGATAACAACATCACATGATGGGTCAGAAGAGCTAGGAACGGCAAAACTTCACTATTTATGTTGAGTAAATTAGTAAAAACTCTTTAATGTAAAGTTCATCTGTCTTCATCGTTTGGATTTCAATGATATCGAATTAATGAATAAAAAAAACAAAGGACTTACTTTAAGTTCTTGTCCTTTGACAATCTTCGTAACATTCTCTACATTGCATTCCGTTTTCGTCACTCGTTTTTCCATTTGTGCGACTTCATCTCGCGTTTTATTGATGGATGCTTGATATTCCTCGGTCAATCTTTTGTCGTCAATAAAATCGATCAAAATTCGACAACCTGAATAAGTATCAAAAGCCGTTAGATCGGTTCGCTTTGCTGCCAATGCTTGTTTGTTAATAACTCCGATTAGTTGACAGGTATGAAAAATTTGTGAACGAATATCATTTGTGATGTTCGTATTCTTTTTAAGTAGATCGATGAGAATTGAAAGATACTCAGTGGCTGATTGCTGGCCACGTATGAGAGTCGCAGCAACAAAATATTGTTGAAGACATTTCATAGCTGGCACGCTCTGAAATTCTACAACAAAGCGTAAGATTATAGGACGATAAGAATCGAATAAAAGTGGTTCAACATTGGCTACAGAACCAAGTCCTTGAAAGAGATAATGAAGATCATGCGAAGAATTTGTTCGACTTTGAATAATGGCAAATACACGATCGAGTTGTGTTGATGTAATCAATTGTGCACGTTCTTGTGCAATAGTAGAAAAAATTTGAGCTAACCAACAGCTAGAGTTAGCATCGCTGCTATGAAGTGCATCAATGATATTATCCAATCGTGCATGATACGTTTCGGGTCGTTTGGAATAGAGCATCTAGGTTGCCAAATAAAAAATATTGTAAAAAAAAAAAGAAATCCAACTAAGTACTAGCAAAACATCTATTGAAGAATTTTCTAATGGAAAGTTCATTATTGAAAGACAAGTTATTGTCAAAATGAAACTATCTTTGACGAATGAGATTCATTTATTTTTAGCCGAATGAATGTTCGAACTTTTTCAATGTTTACTATTGTCTACTTACAGGCAACAATGATGTTATGACAGTTTGTTTGCGTTCAAAGATATCTTGAAAGAAATCTTCTACATAATTGGCAGCAACATCTGGTACTTTCATTGTGACATAACACCAGAATATTGACCACCATTGAAAGAATTTTGTTTCATCTTCATCACAAGCAAGTGAATGTATTCGTTGAATGCATGGTTCATAGAGACGAACATCAGCTTCATTGGTGAGATAGGGACAAAGACGATGCCAGAGTCTCTCTGCGATATTATATTCCATTGACATTTGACCACTTTCATACCGAAATGGACGAGATAATGCTTTGAGAATGAGTACTGCCAGTCGACTGTGAATATCATGTGACAAGACTTTGAGTAGATCTATGTAATTAGCTAAATGAGCAGCAATATTCTAAAGTAAAAGAATTTTCTAGAGATCTAGATCGAAAAGGATCTCTTACGAGGAAGAATGAATTCATCGTATGATTGATGGATATGTCATCTTCTGTTGATTCATTGTCGACAATTCTTAATCGAAGTGCTTCGATGAATTGTATACAAATATCGATCGTCACTTGTCGTTGATCAATCAAATCAAGCATTGTTTGTCCCATATCATAAACATGATTAGACCATATTTTACGATTATTATTATCGTCATTCGTATATGTCCATCGAGAAATGGCTCGTAAAGCTTCTTTATGTGTTGATCGATAGATAATTGCATGTGCTTTAGCTCGATCTACTGCCAATTGAAGGATAGTGGTGAGAGAGTTAAGTTCACTAGAAGTTTTTTCCACCTCGATCGTTTCATAAGCCGAACACAAACGAAGTATATCGGTAAAACGTGGTGCTAAATCTTTCCACGGATAGAACTCATTCTTTTCAAGTAAATATACGGCACATGGTGGTGCTTCAAGAACACATAAATCAAGAAGAATGAGAGCAAAATCAAAGAAAAGTGGAGCTAATTTTTTCGAACATTTCATTCGACCTAACTTGTAGACAACATTCGAAATAACGTTCTTACATGATTCTTTTCGATAATCGATTGGAATCAATGGACACACACGAATAAACATTTGAACTAATGCTTCTATATCGATGATTGTTTCAATATGAGCCAATATTGCTTGATCAATAAAATAGCGTACTTCTCGAATATGATGTCCCAAGAGAAGACGTTCGATAACTAATAATGCTTGAGAAAAATTGTTTTTAATCAAATCTGGATTTCGATTGTATGATTTTGAAATAAATAGAATATAATCATTCGAAATTGGTTCTTCGATACATAGCAAAAAATCAATTTGAGCATCGTCTATATTAACATAACTATCGAATAAAGTTGGTAATGTTCGTGTAAAAACATCTAATATCGATGCCCAGACACGTGATTGATGGGATAAACGAGCTGCATGTCTATAGAACAATGAAGAAAATTAGAATTTCTTTCCTATAAGAAGAATATTAAAGATTTATACAGAAATTTTTCAATTACTTAACCGAAAAATTTGTTGAAAAATCGGTCGCATTGCAAGCATCGTCGTTTCATCATTTAATTTATTCGAATCACATGACAATGGGGAAAATATTCGTCGTGAAATATATTGTTTCCAATTTTCTTCTGTAGTTTTATCGGATTGATCATTTAAAAATGTATGTTTTTTTAAACTTTGTAATAAAGATTCAATTAAATTATATGATTGAGTCGATGTTAAACGTAGACAAAGTTGAAATTTAAAATGAAATGCTTCGATTGAACTAAGATACCATTGATTAAAAATTATTTCACAATCCAAAATACGTCGAACGATACGAATGATTTCCGACAATGATGGTAATGGGTCGCTAGCACAATGTTTAATTACAGCTTCAACAAATGCAAATTTAGTAAAGACTGGCTTGATCGTAGGATTCGGTTCAGCTAGAATATAATCAACTACAGCATCTAATGCTTTGATCTTGAAAATTTCTATGTCGACATTTTCCGTCTCACATTGTATAAACAATTGACCCAATCGACTGAATATATTGGCCCATTCTGTCTCAAATTGTTCACTATCATGTGTCAATTGTCGAATGAATTCATCTGCCATATTTTCTCGTTGTTAACGAAATAGATGTGGCATGTCAAAACTACGAAAACTTACTAACAACAGTAAAGAAAAAAGAACAGAATGAAAAAATGCTACTCACAGCATGGTCTGCCAAACGTTAGAAAGAAAGTAACAGAACATGCGCAGTTGTCAAAAACAAAAAAACGCTCAATGTTGCACATATCGACATTTTTTTTTTGTTCTCTGAAATGTGTCCCACTTCATCTTTGTCAACATATGACGAAATACTTTTCGTTGTTTGGCAACTTCTCACGCTTTCGATTGTAAATGCATTGAAGCTGACGGTACCAGCCAGTCGCAGCAAAAATTTTTGTTCAGTCTACCAGGTTGATTATTTAATAAAGATGGCGCTATAAAAAATAGTCATTAGCTAGAAAAACTAACCAATACACCAAGTTCCAGTGTCATTGGACTAACAATCACTGCTGGAATTCGGTAGCATGCCTCATTTGATGTTTAATTATTGAAAAATATTTGATTAAATCTTCATCACTTGTTTTTATCTGACTATTTTCTAGGTTTTATTAAAATTAACACGATACTATCAATTAATTTATTTTATTATTTATATATACATTCAAATTAAAATACAATAAATGTTTAAATAATTCAAAATATATATGATTTAAATCTAAATTATGTCTCCAAAAATCAAATTATATCAAAATATAAATAATATATTGATTAATTATTGAATATTCTAATATATCCATTTCATTAATTATCTAAATTTATATTAAAAATTAGCTTGGCTATTATTAATCCATACAAAAATCTTTTACTTCATTAATTTTTATGACTTGTTTTGTGTGATTTATTCAACTATCTATTCTTATTGTTAATTGAATTAAACAGTTTTAATATTAAAAAAAAAAAAAACCAACTTTAAATATATGTTTATTTTGTGTAAAAAAAGAAATTGTCTAGAAATGAATGAAGTTTTCCGTCTACCAATGATTTCGAGTATTTGTAGAAATAAAAATTTTTCGAATTCCTAATAGATTTTTCCGTTTGAAAGATCATTTATCTAGGAAGAACTTTTTATTCATTGTCATATACATAATTATTATAATAAAGTTAGCCAAGACCGACTTCTTATCAAAAAAAAATAGTTGAAAATTGTCCGATAAATGTTTGTTGGGATTATCCTTCAGCAAGTCAGATATTTTTTTTAGTACAATATACTAAAAACTAGAGGATCAATCGCTGAAAAAAGAATGAGCTATTTAAACTATTATCTATAATCTGCTCAGTGAGATTTTTTTGATCCAACATGAATGAGAAATGTTATAATTTATGAGTACAAAATGATCAAAAGTATATGTGGCATCAGTTTATGAAATCAAAAAATTCCCAGGGCGAATTTTATATATTATGTAACTTTTGATTCTCTACAAAAAAAGTTATGTATCGGGGCGCGAAAAAAGACTCATAAGTCTTTGTTTCATGGCAATTTATGATGATTTTTGAAAAGAAACACAACTTTTTTAGCAGTTTTCTTCGATAAGACATGATTGTGACATTTGGAATCAGCGTCAAAAACTACATCGGATCGAATAAATTCCATGAAAACTTTTTCCTGAAGAAAATTGCTCGTGGTTTTTCACGGCTGTATTTTAATAAATTTTCTCACTGTGGTCCTCCAGGGGTCAATTTTTCATAGGAAAAAAATTTCTTATATTTTATTCGATTTGATGTAGTTTTTGACACTGATTCCGAATGTCACAATCGTGTTTTGTCGAAGAAAACTGCTAAAAAAGTTGTGAGCCTTTTTTCGTCCCGATACATAACTTTTTTTGTAGAGAATCAAAAGTTACGTAATATATAAAATCCGCCCTGGAAACTTTTTAATTTCATAAACTGATGCCACATATATTTTTGACCATTTTGAACTCATAAATTGTAACATTTCTCATCCATGTTGGATCAAAAAAATCTCACTGCGCAGATTATAGATAATAATTTAAATAGCTCATTTTTTTTCAGCACCTGATCCTCTAGGTTTTAGTATATTCTACGAAAAAAAAAAGACATCTGACTTGCTGAAGGATAATCCCAATAAATATTTATCGGATAATTTTCGACTATTTTTTTGATAAGAAGTCGATCTTGACTAAGTACATCCAAATGAGCTAAAAATTTGATTTTAGACTATTCTCTTTCGAATGCACATCAAAAATCTAAGTTTTGACCAATGCCTCTGATTCTCGGTCGTCTCATGAACTTTCTCTTAAGCATTTATTCTTTATCTATCTGGATATTTTTCTTTCGTAAAGTCAACATAGAAGAAAGAACAGTAGCACTTTCATATAGTGTAGAGAATTCATCTTAAAAGAAAAATATTGATATATTTATATTTAAATATATGATAAAAATTAAATTTTTAATGATTTTTTATTAGTTAAAGTTGATGTCATATAAAATATATCCAATGGTAAATGAACACGTCTTCCAATTATTGATGATGATCTAACTGGCATCCATCGAAATGTTTCTTCACATGGAATTGAATTACGTAGAGGATGTGGTCTATTCATTTGACTAGTACCAAAATGTTGTTGTAGATAAATATAATCTCCATGAATAATTCGATCATACATTAATGAATATTCATCAATTTTTTTACAATTAAAATAAGATAATGATTCAATTTTAGAATTTGTAGAATAGATTAATGTTTGTAAATGTCGAGAAGACATTTGATTAAAAAGATCATTATGTGCACTATTAATATCACATAATGACCATTCATAATAATTTGGAATAGATTCATTATTAATTGATATTTTATTCTTTTTTAATGATTGTTCAAGATTTTTTATAATAATTGTTTGTTGAGTCGGTTGTTGATGTATGTTGTTGTAATTATCTATGCTTCGATTACTTAATAAAACTGAATGAAACATCATAATTATCTTCGTTAGAATAGTCCTTCATTTAATATTAAAGAATGATTTTAGCGCTAATATATAACTGTAATTTTAAAATCATTCGATTCATTGTTCTATGTAATTACTCTCATATGAAATATCGAAGTTATCCTATATAATAGAGATTTTACATGATTGATTATTTCAATTTAAAACTTATGTTTAATCTATCTTACAATACCTTTAATTAGAATAATATTTTATATATTTTTATCAAACTAATGATGATTACATGATATTTATTTTAAAATAGAAAAAATTAAAATTGACATTTTTTTTTCTTCCTTTCGCAAACTAATCAATAGTACTTGTTCATTATATATTATAGTACATATATGTCTATAAATTGAAAACGATTGATGACGTACTGATTATTATCATATTATATAATCGTATGTATAATTATCAAACGAATTATGTTGTTGTTAATGATGAGATATGATTATTTTCGAATGGATTGACATGAAGGCAAAGGTTATCAACAATAATCGAATGATTTTTCATGGATAATAAATTAAAATCAATTATATCTTCTTTTATATAAGATTGTTGAGAAAGTAAATCATATTCATCATCATCATTATAATTATCATTATCATCATGATAATGAATAAAACAAATACAAAAAATTATTATCCAAAATATAATAATTATACTAATACCAATTAAAAATAAAGCAATACTTTCTTCAGAAAAAGAAAAATTTGTTGGAAATGAAAATGAATGTAAAGTAAATGTATTATATTGCGTATCAGAAGAAATTATTGCTCTAAAATAATTTAAATGAATCTTCTTCTTTTCTTTGAAAATCTTCTTTTACATACTTATATGAACATTGATAAGTAATATCGACATATTTAGAATATGAATGATGATTACAATGAAGTTGAATAGTTTTAGCATAAAATTGACATGGAGGATGATAATTCATACAAATATTATTATTCGATACTAAATATAAATTAAAACAATTTTCATTTGAATAATTCAATAATTGAATATTTAAATAATTTAAATTGTATGGACATCGAATACGATATTGTTGATCATCTGTTGTTAAACGTATATGTCTAAGATAAATAAATGATGAACTTTCGGAATTTGATAAAAATTTTCCATGAATTCGACTGAAAATTAATATAAAGAAACATAAGGTTGACATCATTATGCTATGGTTAAATAAGATAATATGTATGAACAGAATGGTAATATATAAAAATGTTTCGGACGATTTCTTGCTTGTCCGAAGCGGAACGGGAGAACGAGCAGAAGAAAGAAAAGAATATTTTTACATGAATGACTTCTGATTTTTTTACTATTCTTATGAATAACTTAAGATATTATGTATATTAACATATGAAGATAACAGAAAATTAAAAAAAATATATTTAAGTTTTCAAAAATATAATTAAATTTTCTATCAATAGAAAAAATGAAAATTAACCTTGAGCTATTTGAATATCTTATGATTTGATTCAAAAAAAAAAAACAAGTTGTAAATATGAATTAAACCAGATGTTTTTTATTTTGAAAATGACGATGAAATAATCAACAGATGTCACAATGAATAAAAATGTGATTACTAAAAAAAAAAACTGCTTTCAATCAAATGACTAAGAATAAATCTAGACAAGCTAATTTAAGTTTAGAGATATCAATACATCGAATGTACATGTTTTTCTATTTGACACAATAAACTTTTAAGTAAGAACTAAATCTTAAAACATTCTTTTTTTCACTATTTCGAAATTGTGGTAAACATTCAAACGCGTGTTTTTTTTTTCATCATTGTCATCTAGATACATACAGGTAGATAGCTAAGTTAAACATCATGCTTTCTATGCATTTAATTCATTGTTATCTTTCTTATATATATATATCAACCACAATATCTTTTTTTATTCTATTTTGTCTCATTTTAGTCCTTGTAAAAGATGCGTTTATTATTTATTGCAATTGTCTGTTTGGTTGCATTTGAATGTATAAATGGATATCGAGGTCCATTCCGTAAAATGTTTCCAACTCGAAAACCAACTATTCTTACTGTTGATGATGATCCAGGAGAGCCACTTTTTCTTACACCATATCTTGAACAAGGTAAAATTGAAGAAGCAAGACAATTAAGGTATGATATATTTCATAATTTTTTTTTTCCTGTGTAACTAATTCATTGATTTAGTTCTGTTGAATTACCACCATATAAACAACAATCATTTTCTGGTTATTTAACTGTTAATAAACAATATAATTCTAATATGTTTTTTTGGTTTTTTCCTGCACAAAATGGTAATAAACCTGATACACCTGTTATGCTTTGGCTTCAAGGTGGTCCTGGTGCATCATCACTTTTTGCTCTTTTTACAGAAATTGGTCCAATTTATATTGATGCAAATCAAAATATTCAATTACGTGAAATAACATGGAATACAAATTATCATTTACTTTTTATTGACAATCCAGTTGGTACAGGTTATAGTTTTACATCGAATGATCAAGGTTATGCTCGTTCACAAGATGATGTTGCACGTGATCTTTATTCAGCATTAACACAATTCTTTCAAATCTATACTGATTATGCATCAAATCCATTTTATGTTACAGGTGAAAGTTATGGTGGTAAATATGTACCATCAATAACATATAAAATTCATATGGAAAATCAAGATCCACAAGTTAAAGTTAAAATTAATTTGAAAGGTATGACTATTGGTGATGGTTTAACTGATCCTGTTAATCAATATATGTATGGTGATTTTCTTTATCAAGTATGATTATGTACATAAAATCTTTCTATAAGGAATTATATGCTTTTTCTTTCTATAGATTGGTCTTGTTGATTTAAGTCAAAAAGCATATGTTGA